TAATTATAAAATATAGTTGTAAACCCAATTAAGTGTGTGAAATTAATATGCAATGTACGTAACACATATACTTTGCATGTGTTCATCGGGAATATTATGAAACAAAATGGACGGTGTGTACCACGTGACTTTCGTAAACCAAGGTGCCGAATGTCGCAACTCTTTATATATATGGCTCTGCCGTATTCTGGTCAACAGCGCCCCCATACAGCCCGTATTCTAGACAGATTTCGACACACCTACTGTTTGCTTCCGGCGAGCGATAGACGATGCAACGCCGTCAGCTGATTGTCAGTGGTAATCTGAACGGATCCTCATTAAAAAGACGATCCGTTTGGTCCTAGTCTTCGCGTGCGTTCTTCGTCGCGTTGCCGTCGCGTCACCGTCGCACGCAGTGGGTAACCGGCTTTACTGAACCTTTTCAGTCAACACACCCACTACTCCCCTTCTGGTCACTAATGTTTTGTATTTTACAGGGTTGTTTTGATGTTGCACGAGAGTCACTTTCATCCATCTACTATATCGTCAGTTCCATACTACTATTAGTCGGTATTTTTCTGGTAATATACTTTCTGTTTATTGTTTTTTCATAACATTTGGTAAAGAATGTACCCATAATGATAATGATGTTGGTAATTATAATAATAGCAGCAGCGGCGGCGGCGGCGGCAGCGGCAGCAGCAGCTGCTCAGGGCTGGCAGAACCTTTTTCAAAGTGGCGAGAGGCACACTGGTAAGATGAATGTGAATATTAATAGGTTCATATTTTGGGGGTTGGGGGCCAAAATTTTCTTAAAACCCCAAAAAAGCAGGGTGGATACGGGCGTCCTCCCCGAGAAATTTTCATTCCTAGATGGCGGGGAATGAACTTTTCCGACTTCAAAATCAAGGTTTTCCACCTCTTGAAAACGGTTAGGTAAACTTTCTCATTCTTATTACAGTAAATAGGCATGTTATGTGTGTATACAACATTTTTTAAAAATGAGTAGTTGCATACGTGTTTTTCCCCATAACTCGATAAACCCCCAAAAAGAAAAGGAGTTTCGGGGGTGCTTCCAGGGAAAATTTTGGTTCTTGGATGGCGGGAAATGAGCTTTCCTGATTTTTGAGGTGTCTTTTTATGACTTTTAAGTCCTACAATATTCAAGGTTTTCCCCTTTTGAAAACAATTCCATGAATCAATAAACCACAAAGAGAAAGGTGGGTTTGGGTCCTCCCCAGGAAAACTTTGATTTCTAAATGGCGGGAAATGAGTTTTTCCGACTTCAGAAGTGTCTTTTAAGTTCTTCAAATTTCAAGGTTTTCTCCCTTGAAAACGGTCAGGTAAATTTTTCTCTATTCTTATTACAGAAAATAGGCCTTATGTGTGTACCGGTATACGTTGCACGTATTCTTTTTTCAATGAATCGATGAACCCCAAAAAGAAAAGTGGGTCGGGGTCCTCCCCTGAGAATATGTTGATTCCTAGGTGGCGGGAAATGAGCTTTCCCGACTTCTTATTTTGTATTCAAGGTCGTTATTCTTTATTCAGATAAAAAAATAAATTAAAAATTACAAACAGACAGCCAAAGACTGTATATGAATGTATTACAATAATTGCTTAAAAATTTTAAAACAGAACACCAAAATTCAAGAAATTCACAACACAAACATAAAAGAAAACAATGGATAAAAAGCATAGCACCAGACATAAAACCAAATTAAAATGATAAAAATGGAATAAATAAAATATATATAAAATTTATATAAAAAACACATTAATAAGAATTGAATTGAATTTTCTTATTGTTAATAAGAAAAAACCGGTCCATCTGTTATATTTTTTCATCTTTTTTTTTTTTTTTTTTTTTTAAATACTCTTTCCCCTCCCTCTCCTTCCCTCTTTCTTTTCTTGCATTTCTTTCCGAGACCATACAAAAATCTCCATTATATATTTTCTGCCAAAAAGCCGGGTGCCCGGGCCCCCGCGCCCCCGGTTCCGGTGGACATGTAACTTACCATCGGCGCTAAGAAAAAAAATAAAAAAAAAAATAGCTGGAATAATCCCATAAAAAGAACTTAGAAAAGTTTTTTGAGTAAAAATAAAGATTTAATAATCTAATATTTCACTGTCTTAATTATTTTTCTTTAATTCTTATATTGTATCTAATTTGTTTTCAGGGTTTTGGACTGTTTTTCTCAATCCCAGTTTGTCGGTTTACGGTGTACTATCAACACATTAATGTACATGAAACACATTTATGAAGTTAGCATAAAGAATTGTTTTACTTATAACTTGTTGCTGGTGGTGAAAGTATTACAGTATTTATTGCTTGTACTCAGTTATTTAAAAAAAACTCTTTGGTCGTATCATCATCAACATGGTTTTTTTATCAGTTCAATGTAAAAAGCGTTTGTGAATATTGTAAATATTTATATATAATATAAATGCATTTCCAATGAATATTTTAAAGAAAAAATAAGTTTTGAAAAGTTATGACTTACTATAAGTATTTATAAAAGTCATTGCTTTTACTTAGTCATATTACTACAATCATAATAAATACCGTACTATATATTGAATATTGTAAATAGGCCTATTTATATATAAAATATAGAGTTGTATTTTGAATGCATAATTCATTAAAATAAAGTTATAAACCTGGGCATTATGGTATAGAATCCAACTTAGGTGATTATCCATACTCGCAGATTCTTCTCCTTTACCGTTATAATTATAAATGACAATCCCGTTTGGAGCAACTATTTTTTTCACACTCAAAGATTTCTCATCTTTAATGTTTAAAGTGCCTCTGCCACCTATTCTGACAATTTTTATAAACTACAGCGTGTTTATATTTATA